TACTAGAAAATAATCCACCCAGACCGGGCAGCAGACGGGGCTCGAGACCGCGCCCTCCACTATCCGCGCGGATGCACTGATCATTACGCTTCTGCGGCCCTTATTGTCCTTTTCGAATTTTCTCTGTGCCTGGCCCGCGTGGAATCTTTTCTAGTAAAATTTTCTTTACATTTAAAAATATAAATTCATATTTAAAATTTTCAAATACCAACTATCATATTTATTAAACTAGTAGGATTAAAGACCACATAGATTCATAGAATTGAAACGAAACGCTTAAACAATGTTTTAACACTGCCAAATGAACCGAAACGCGAAACAGATTTTTTTCACCCTAATTCGCTATAACCGCGATGATTCAACCTTTATTCACCGTGAGGGCATCTCATCTCGGATACATTTTTAATCTTAAATACCAGTATTGTTTTGTTGTAGCTATAGTGACCCAATTCCTAAACAGCCAAATTCAGTCGGACCACTTTCTTGTTTGGGTACGATTGTCCAGATTCAAATGAGCGTTCGCAAAAAAAGCGTCTGTTACCGCACCATTGTTGCCGTTTAGGTTGTTTCAATTTGTGTGAACTGATTGATTGATTGATTCATTGCAGAACACGTAACTCCATATTTTTATGTGACGCGTTTTGACATTAACTAGCTGTATTCGATTTCTAGGGTTTTCTACTTTGTGTATTTATTGGATTTGTGATAGATGACAGTAATTTTAAGTAATGAAACAAATTTTATAGCTTCATTCACGCTTAATAATATTTTCAAGAGTTATCTTATCAACTTTTAAATGTCGATGTATAACTATGGTTTAAGTAAAATATATATACTGTTTTTAAATTATATTTTTCTTTCTACTTTCTTTATTGTTTGTTTCTACTATGCCACAGATTAGCTGTACTTAGGGATGCTTAATTAACTGTTATAATAAGTACACAGTGATGTCGATCCCGACATGATTCTCTAAACCTAAACTTGACAACAGTGTATCATTGTCATTCTCTATACAGGATGAAAAGGAGAGACTGATGTTTTTAGTTTTAAGTTTAGGGAACCATGCCAGATTTTTTATTGTCTTGTCTTAATGATTCAAATATTAAATGACTAGTGGCCGACCGCGAGTTCGTAAGCGTGGAGTTTATATGTTGACCCGACTTCTTAATAATATTCGTGCCAAATTTTAAATAAATCCATGCAGTACTTTTTGAGTTTATCCCGAACATACAAACAGACAAAAATTCTAAAAACTATATTTTTGGCTTCGGTGTCGATTGTGGAGCACACCCAAAGTATTCTTTAAAAAAAATATCCAATGTACAGTTTTGACTTTCCTAGCATTTTATTATATGTACATATAGATTGACATTTGAATTTGATTATTATACGAATAGTTTAACAACGTTAAAACTTATTAGTTACTAATAGCAAGTTCGATATCATCATCATCATCATCATCATCATCATCATCAGCCTCTTAATGTCCCCACTGCTGGGGCACAGGCCTTCCCTATGGATGGAATAGGGAGATTGGGCCATGACCCACCACGCGGGCCCAGTGCGGATTGGCGGGTGCTAACGACTGCAGATGCAACCGGGACCAACGGCTTAACGTGCCTTCCGAAGCACGGAGGAACTCGAGATAGAAATTTGTGGTCACCCATCCAATGACCGACCACTGCGAAAGTTGCTTAACTACAACGATCGCAGCCGAACGCGCTAACCACCTGCGCCATCGAGCTCCTCAAGTTCGATATGATAGGAGAAAAATAATCTGTTACTGTCCCCGTCCCCTCGTCTGTGTAAGTGGATGATTTCTGCCACTGCCATGATTTTTGCGTTTTATCATATTTAGTAACAGGTTTTTAATTCACACATCTCATATATAGATAAGTACGTAGAGAAACTATCATCATCATCAGCCTATTAATGTCCCCACTGCTGGGGCACAGGCCTTCCCTTTGGATGGAATAGGGAGATTGGGCCATGACCCACCACGCGGGCCCAGTGCGGATTGGTGGGTGCTAACGACTGCAGATACAGCCGGGACCAACGGCTTAACGTGCCTTCCGAAGCACGGAGAGAAGAGAGAAACTAAGTAGGTAAGTTTTAAGATAATTCTATTTTTAAGTTTTTAGACAATAAGTAGTTTCAAACTTTTGCAATTTAAATACTGAGGATTAATTTAAGAGATATAGGAAGCCAGGATGTATAGAAGAACTCGAATGATAATAGGAAAATCGGCTGGTTTTTTTTCCGGCCGTTTGAAACCACACGAAATGTTGCAAAATGCAAAATGATGGAAATATAAATATTCCTTTAGCACCACAAATTACAATGAAACTGAAAATAAAATAAATTGAAATAAAAGTTGGTATTCTACCTTAATACAGGTCTACGAAGGCATTCGCTAACTAATCAAATATGGCAAGGAAGAAAATAAATGAAGTGCATACAATGAAAGAACCGCGGATTTTGCTAATGAACATTTTCGCTTACGTTTTCATTTTGTTATTTCTGCCCGCTGAAGGTTTTTAAATGCCCCGCGATTTTTTTTTTGTTATGGTAACAACAATAGAAAAGGAACTGAGCGTAAGGTATTTGAAAACCTTCAGCGGTCAGAAATAACAAAATAAAATCTTGAAAATGAAAATGTCTAAACATTAAGTAGTTTCAAACTTTTGCAATTTAAATACTGAGGATTAATTTAAGACTATAATTTAAGATATATATGAAGCCAGGATGTATAGTAGAACTCGAATAATAATAGGAAAATCGGCTGGGTTTTTTTCCGGCCGTGAAAAACAAATTGGAGGGCTGCATAGACCAGAACAGCAATGTATCTGGCTGGTGACGAACTGCAGAGGCTTCTTCGTTCATAGTCGATTCCTAGGAATTTTGCTGGGGTGTATATGAGATGGCCAATCTCCCTATTCCATTCATGGTTAAGGCCTGTGCCCCAGCAGTGGGTACATTAATAGGCTGATGATGATGATGATGATGATGTATATGAGATTGAAGGGATCAACATGGTTGTGAATTAAGGTAAGCAATGTACGAGAGATACTATAAAGTATTTTTAATTTAGATAGCATCTAATTATTACCGATGCTTGTATCCTGTATTGGTGTATATCTTGTTGGTCCACCTTAAATAAATAAATAAATTGCAAGAGTATTTAGGCTATAACAGCCATTTTCCATCAAGCGGGTCATAAACCATTTTGCAACTGTTAATTATTATACCTGTGAGAAATTATATATTCATTTCAAGTTTCATCATACCATGAAGCGTACGTATTTTGTAGTCGAGATGCAGAATAAAGGATGTTTTAAAGGGTAAAGTCGTTTATAGCTACTTTGATTTGATGGAAGAGTATTTGCCTACCTACTGTATGATACGGTATTCTTATGTTAAGTTTGACTATTAAATTAATTTGTTTTCTTTTCATTTGTGAGTCGTCTCCTGTATTACCTGTATTGTTTTGATTATTTGCAGTGTCCTACAGATAAATGACTTTTATTTTGATTAAATATATATTGTTGCAGTTTATTATAGGCGGTTATGAGTAGTGATGCTAAAAATCTCTTCGGTGGTGTCGAGTGAGACGGGTCGTTACTTTTCCTAAAATATGATCAAGCGAAGCGATGGCTGGTCCATGCGTCATGCTCCTGAAAGGGTGCTGCCAGCGGGGATGATTCTGTTCTATACTGCGTTACTACTGAGATTGTTATCTGTTATACCTTATATTGAATGATTAATACATAATAGAACACCAGTATTGTATTTATACTGTATGACACGGCTATCAAAATGCGAGTGGTCGTTGTACTGGTCGCGGCATGTTTTTTTTAGTAAATTTTGCTTTTTCTGTTAAGAGCCCTTTTACAAAATTGCGCCGCTGCCATACTAATCGGCGCGTAGGTAGATGCTAGTATATATTGCATTTTACGGGTGATGTTTCGAGTCTTATAAAATAGACTGGCCCTCATCTAGCCCAGATCTAAATCCTTCAGACTTCAAATTATGTCAGTTTTAGAGGACATGGCCTGCTCTTAACGACACGGGGACATTGAGTTTCTTAAAAAATCTTTGGAGCAAACAGTGGCGAAATTTCCCTTGGAAACAGTGCGTAAATCCCTAGATCCGTGGCCAAACAGATTAAAGACCTGGGGGCCAATCGCCTAACGGAAATGCTTTGGGAAACGCTAACGCTTACGATTTTATATTGTTATTTCTAGCCGCCTGAGGTTTTCGAATACCTCACGCTCATTTTTTTTAATATTGTTATTACCAATGCAAAAGAAAAAGAAAGAGCGCGAGGCATTTGAATACCTCAGGCGGCTAGAAATAACAAAATAAAATCGTAAGCGTTAGCGTTTTCCAAAGCATTTCCGTTAGGCGATTGGCCCCCTGTATGAAAGCCAAAAGTGGAGACTTTAATAAATATTTAGGTATAAATTTCAATAATATTAATAACTTCATTACTAGAAAATGCATTTTCATTTATAACAGAACTTATTCGGCTGGACTACGTAATTTCATTTCATTGCAATTTCAGTACGCTGGTATTGTAGTACGCTAGTAGAAGATGGTTAAACTTTTACTATATAGCCGATTGCTGTCATTAAAGGAATTTACGCAGATTGATAAAATATATATTTATTATTAAAACGTGAAAATGGGAAAAATACCTGTATTAGTCGTATAAAAAAAATGAAAGTAATTAGTCATACCGCAAATAACTTGTTAAAAAAAAAACCTATTATCAACAATAACCGGCCGGCGACATTGTGCATTTCAGCGATAAAATAACAACTGAATGCGCGTAATAGTATTATAACAATGCGTCCGTTCCAATTCATATCATAGTTGAGACATCGCTCTTATGCATGTGCAGAATGCGCCGGCTCAGTAGGAACACGTGGGTGTTCTCGGCTCGCCCGCGCTTTTAACACCGAGTTACTGTTTACTTATTACGCATCTGTGGTACTCACGGTTTCGGCAGCGGCGGTGGCGGCGGGCTGAGGAACAGCCCACAGGAGGTTGAAGGCTCGTTGAGTAAAGACACGAGGGAAGGTGAGCTTGGAGCACCGAAAATATGCCCGCCGGGCGATAGCACTGGCATCTGAGGCTGCATGTATGACTGCTGCATACACGATGGCGGGGACTGCTGCATAAACGAAGGCGGGGACTGCTGCATACACGACGGTGGGGACTGCTGCATACACGACGGCGGGGACTGCTGCATACACGACGGTGGGGACTGCTGCATACACGAAGGCGGGGACTGCTGCATACACGAAGGCGGGGTTTGCTGCGGCGGCGGATTCTCATGGTAGTACTGGTTGTACGCGTACCGGTACGGATCGTACTGGTTTTGCGGCCACTTGTGCTCCATGAGTGACCAGTCCGCCATCGTCCTCACACTCCGTACAAATAACTAGTCACCAAAGCGCAGCGTTACTGCACGCGTGCACCGGCGGACGCAACGCGCGCGCACTGAACGACGCCCCACCCGTTTTCCGCGCCACCCATGCAACTTGTAAACAAACTGCAAATCCTTTATCTAGCAATGCGCTACAGTCTCCGCAGTCCGAGCTGTGCGATTCTAGCCCTCATTCTGACAGCGTTTAGGGAAAACGTTGAACGCGGCGGCTAGCATATACATATGTAGCCGGCGACTGATAAGGGACGGTCTGCATAAGCATTTCAACTAATTGCATAGTATTAAAACAGTTGCGATAGCTTTATAAATTTAATGTTTATTTGTTTATAAAGTCGGTATGTATTAACATCAAAAACTCTATTATGATAGAAATGTTATTCTTTTGTAGAAAGGTTTATAAAAAAATGTTCAAATAAATGGCTTTTAAGAAGCATAAATGTAGATCTACAATTTACTAAGCTATTTGTGAATATCTCTATTCTCACTCGACAAAATCTTCACTAAGATAAAGTTACTAATTTAAATATCGAAAAATCAGGTAGCGTCTGCTTACGTAGCTCATAAAAAAATGAAAAATTAAAAATAAGGCTATTCGATCAATTGATTTATAAGAAATGGGACGCCAATTTTGCTATGAATGGGCCATTGTCGTCGAAGAAATATGGTGATAAAAATATAATGCAACATACACAGTGGCTGCCTACGCACACATCGGAATGGCACACACAACGCTATCATCATTATTTGTTAGTCACTCAGAGCGTATCTAGAAATTAATTATAAGCAGTTTCTTAACAAGACTCTATTGTGTTTACATTAAAAATAACTGTTGTTAGATTTTCTCAATTACATATTAGTTTTTTTATGTTAAAAGGGTGGCAAACATGCATAGGTCAATCGCCTAATGAGATTCCTATGGCTATCGCTGTCGCTTTCGCTTACTATACGAAATGGTCGGGTTATTTTACTGCAAAAAGTTCTGTAAGGTGGAGGTAACTACCCCAGTCGAGCGCTCCAATTCAGAAATCAGAAATCAATATATCTTTATTCAAATTGGATGTATCAACCCTTTGAATCGCACAAAAAAATTTTTTCCCTACCACTCGTTATGGACTTATTTTTTAGCTGCGGAGAAAAACGAGCGAAAAAAACTCCACAACATTAAAATTCTAATAAATGTAAGTATGAACTTTTAAAAATCATTATGTTGTTACAACGTCTATACAATTATGATTTATTTAATATAGAAAACCTGTTGGAATGATTGGAACAGTTCAAACCCAAGCAATTCAAGCGGCGAATCCGCTATGTCGTACCTTTTTACCCTCCATCGATGAAAATATTAGGTGTATACCTATAAAATAGCTGTTTTCCATGAAATTAGTTAACCTCCTTTTTTCTATATTTTTTATTTTTATTAATCAAAGTGCCCATGCAATAAATGCATTTTTGCCAACGCGGCAAAGTAGTGGTAGCTTATTGGTGCCCTTTTTGAAAAACTCTGCTGGACGGGTTCTTGCAATTTTCGGGTTTCTGCAAATTCTTCAAACGCATTTTAAACTGCTTCTCGGTTAGATAGATAGATATTTTTTTTATTGCACACAGACAAAAGAATACAAAAAAAGTAAACAATAATAGTATGTTGTCAAAGGCCTTATTGCTTTAAGCGATCTCTTCCAGACAACCTTTGCGGTAAAGGATAGCTAAACGAAGAGGAAGTTGCAGTATGCCAGCAAGATAAAACAAAGAAATATACATATTTTCTTGAACATATAAAGATTATAAACAAATGAATAACATATACCCACACAGATATATACATACCATATATACCTACACAAATATAAACACATACATATTTTGCATGTATTTATAGATACAGCAGCCTAGGATCTAAGTGGGAGAAAATCATGGAAAATATTGAATATTTCCCCGCTAAAAAGTTATCCAAATTTTGGAAAAAGTAGAAGTCTGTAGGGGCAAGGTCTGGTGAATACTGTGGATGACGGAGAACTTCCAACGGCAGCTCGTGTAACTTGAAGACCGACTGCTGTGCAGTATGACGTCTTGCAGGAGCAGTGGAGCTGAACGATTGACCAAAGCTAGTTGGAGATACAATTCAAAAGTTCAAAATTCAATATCGTTTATTCAGTCTAGGCCAGGGGTTCCCTAAGTGTGCGCCGCGGCGCCCTGGTGCGCCGTAGAAAGTACAGAGGGGCGCCGTGAGTCGATCCTCTAATTTGGGACACCACAAATATAGGCGGGTAAAGGTATTATATACAGAATCGTCAAATTGAAAAATGTCTTCAATATGAGATAACTCATGAAGTCACTTTCCATTACAAATGTAAATGATATAACAATTATGACTATAAAATAAAAAAAATATAAAAAAAAGTTTAGGAATGCCGTGTCCTACTTTTTATATATGCGTGCGATATGCGAGCTTCTCCATCATTGTGCTCAGTACACATCTGCAGTAATGCTCATCCCGTTTGGTAAGAGGCTGTGATGAATGGCACTAGCGCTAGACAACCAAACAGAGAGGGAGAGAGAGAGAGAGAGAGAGAGAGAGAGAGAGAGGGGGGGGGGGACTATTTTATGTTCACCAAACAGTGAGCATTACTTTTTTGGGGTCAGTTTTAGTATGGGGTCGTGTGGTTTTCGTATTGTTTAGGTGCTGAACCAGGATCTAACCAACTTGCTGAGCGGGAGAGAGTGAGACCCTAATCGCACTCTAGGCTTCAGAGATAGCGAAGCAAAAGCCAAAGTGATAGCTACTCAAGGAGGACTACAAATAAAGAAGTTAGCTAATTATGTCAACAGTTAGATAAAATGAAAAAATCAATCTCTCAACTCAACTACTCTACTCATCTACTCCAATAGTCTTCACTCCTTTTACACAGGTCTTCGATGAGTAGTAAAGACTGCAGATACCACCGGCAAAAAGTGCGGTTATTTGTGCTCTTTGAAGCACGCAGGACTTCGAAACAAAAATGTTGGTTCACGCATCCTCGATCGCAGACCAAACGTGCTAATCTTAATAACTTGGCCTGTTGCTGACTGAAATAGAATTTAACTCTGTCGATCTCTCAAGCCGTCAGGAATTCAACTTGTACAAAAAGTACGTAGACCAAACATTACAGCTATAACGTCTTTGAAAAATCAAAACGCAAAGCCAGCTTGATAAACAATGTAAGTATAATGAAGTTAGATAGGTACCTAGCGATAATTTAACTATGCTAATGTTTTCCAATAATCAATTAGGGATTGTAACTTAATTCTATGCCATTGTATTTGAATCATCGATAATTATGATTACCATGCGTATTGGCTACTAATTGCCTACTATAAAAGCGGAAACAAATTTAGCAAACAAAAAAAAGGAAAAAGGTAAAGAAATGTCACGTCATGTCATCATCCTTTTTTACATTATCGCTAAAATTAGATTTTAATGAAAATATAAAAAAATAAGTATGTTTCATGACGCACTATGGGCACCCGTCTAAGAAGCCATCTCATAAATGCTTTTTTGTAACTGTGATTCGAGATATGTATTATATATCAAATTATATCTAAAGAGTTACTATATTATAATCAATATCATTTAAGTCTCGAACTTTTAATAACATCTAAAGTCAGGGAATGAAAAAATACAAAAATAATAATATGATATCAGTCATTTTGGTATAATTTTATAGTATAATAACAAAAGAAGTAATAAGTGTGATACCAATTTTTCTATAAAATTAAAATGAATGCAGTTTTTAGGATTTCGTAGCCAAATGGTAAAAAACGGAATCCTTATGGATTCGTCATTCGATCGATGATTCAAATACAATGTCATAGAATCTCTTATCTATTAGACAAGTCCGTCTGTCTGTGGTGCTGTTTCAGCGGCCAAACCGTAAGAGATAGATAAAGAGAATATTTAAGTTATAAGTTAAGAATAGTCTGATAAGACTACAAACCGGATTTGAGTAACGTAGCACTTCCGGTTTTCGAGAAATCAGGTTTTGGTGAACATTTGGTTCACTGGTTTGCTGGTTAAGTTATAATCCCTAATTGAGTATTGGAATACATTTGCATAGTTAAATTATTATCATGCAGGTACTAGTAGGTAGGTACTGTAACGTCCGTTACGTCACAGCCTCCTTGTTTAGTTAAACTCTTTGTTCATGCAATGCCTACGGCTGGCAGTTATATTAAAAAGTTAATGTCATGATTTTAATATTTGAAATAATTAATCGTCTGTCTTTTGATAGAAGGTTCCACATCAGATGGACTTCAGACTTCAAACCTCTCGTAGTAAGTAAGATTAAAAAAACTTGTATTCGCCTGAAATCTAATATAAAATAATAATCAAGTCGTTGTTTCAATAAATTACTACGCCCCCAGGTTCTATCCACACAGGGTAGAACTCCGCAGTACCTATCTAACTTCATTATACTTACATTGTTTATCAAGCTGGCTTTGCGTTTTGATTTCTCTAAGACGTTATAGCTATAATGTTTGGTCTACGTACGTTTAGTACAAGTTGAATTCCTGACGGCTTGAGAGATCGACAGAGTTAAATTCTATTTCAGTCAGCAACAGGCCAAGTAATTAAGATTAGCACGTTTGGTCTGCGATCGAGGATGCGTGAACCAACATTTTTGTTTCGAAGTCCTGCGTGCTTCAAAGAGCACAATTAACCGCACTTTTTGCCGGTGGTATCTGCAGTCTTTAGTACTCATCAAAGACCTGTGTAAAAGGAGTGAAGACTATTAGAGTAGATGAGTAGAGTAGTTGAGTTGAGAGATTGATTTTTTCATTTTATCTAACTGTTATACTTCTATAGGCGCGCGTTATGAAAAAATTATGAGAGTGAAATTTTAAGATGCGCGCGCATCACTGTAACACAAAATTTTAACAGCATGAAGTTGGTCGCTTTAGCGATGAATGCTGTTACTTTTGTGTTTACCGCACATTAAGAAAATCTACCAACAAAATAGAAATAGAATCTCTATTTAGTGGGTGCCAACGACTGCATTGTGAAGGCCTATCAAAAGTATTTATTAATCTGGAACAACGGAACCAAAGCGCGAT